GCCAGTGGTTGGAAAGAGGTAGAATGGAAAATTCTTTTAAATAGGTATACAGTTTAGTTTTGTAAGATGAAGTGGTGGTAATGGTTGTATGACAATATGGTTGTACTTAATACCACAGAGCTATACAAAATGGGGGATAAATTTTATTATGTATATTTTACCACAGTAAAAAAGTGCAGGAAAAAAAATCTAGTGAAAGACAGAGTCAGCAAAAGATGAAAGGGCCTGATGCTATTCTAGACAACTGGAGGAACTGGAAATATGAACTTTATGTTAAATTTATTGATTTTTAAATGTTGGTAACTAATTAAAAAATTTTTTTTTAATCATAGTGTGGGCCAAATGAAATATACTTGTTGGCCAAATTTGATCTACACCTGTTAGTTTATAAACTCTGCAAAAGCACTAGGAAAAAGAATGACCTTTATAGGCATCATGCCTGCTATGGTACCCCTCACTGTCCTGGGATGGGAGCAGACATCTTAAAAGATTAAAAGAAAGATTGATCATACTCTGTTCCTTTTGTCATCGTCATGGCTGAAGAGCAGGTTTTCTCCATCTTCAAACAGGAGACCAGGTTTTAGATACTTTGTCCTTTACTAATACTAGAAATGCTTATTACCATATTCTAGRTATTAAAAGGTATTTGGGCATCCAAAGGTAGAGAGATTTGGACCAACAAAGAAACCCTTCTGTGCCTGTAGGAGTCAATAATTCCTAACACATTGCTTTGTGGGGAAAACTGGTGATTCCTTCTAGGAAATCAATGCCAGTGACACCTGTCCTGGTTCATGACTTAATCCAAGGCATCTAAAACAGTACCTAGGACAGAGTAGGTGCTTGTGGGAGAAGGAAGATTTCACCAGACTCTTGTCTGATGTGTTTTGGATGGCCACAAGAACCACTTTCTACTGGGGCTCCAACTAACTGTTTCACAGTTTTTTGTCATGACACTTCAAAAAGTCCTCTTTCCAAATTGTCTCTTATATCGAGAGGACCCTAGAAAAAGAGAATTTAGATTGCAGATGAAATTAAGACTGCAAATTTTAGCTTATTTTAAAAYAGGGATATTATTCTGGATCATTCAGTTGTACTCAACATAATCATAATGACCTGTAAATAAAAGACTGAGGAAGAAAAGTTCAGAATGATGCAATGTGAGAGGGACTCAAACTACAGCATTGGCTTTGAAGGTGGATCAGGGTGCCAGCAGCCAAAGAATATGGGTGGCTTCTAGAAGCTGGAATAACTGAAGAAACAGATTCTGCCCCAGGACTTGCAGAAGGATCTAGTCCTACCAACACTCCGATTTTCGCCCAATGAAGCCCCATTTCTATCCATCAGAATTATAAAATTATAAATTTGAATTGTTTAAGGAAAAAAGGGGAGTATGAACATTAACTCAAAAGAAATAAAGCATAAAAAGGATATCTGTAAAATTAGGAAAATTCACTAATGCTACTGTAATTGTACTAAGTTTGTGTATATACTAGACTTATGGGTTAAGTCTTCTTTGTTTTTTTTCCCCCATTGTGTTTATACTGTTATATCTTAGTCAGCTTGGGCTGGTAACAAATCACCAGAGACTGGGTGGCTTAAACTGTGTCTATTTATTTCTCACATTCTGGAGGATAAAAAGTCAAGATCAAGTATAGATTGACCCCATGTTGGGTGAGGTCCGCTTCCTGGTTTATAGATGGCTGTCTTCTTGTTGGATCCTCTCTTTAGAGCAAGCAGAGACCGAGAGACTATGTCTCCTCCTTTTTCTTCCTTCCTTTTTTAAAAAATAAGAATGCTAATCCYATATGATGAGTCCTTGTTACTTCCTTTAGTCCTTTCCTCCAAATAGCATCATGTTGGGGGTTAGGGTTTCAATATGGATTTGGAGATATGTAGACACATTTTTCAAACTGACAAAATCATTTATAGTAAAAATGTATGAATAGGTTTCAGACCCTCAGGTTCAAACTTCTTCTTAAAAGGTAATATAAATTATAATATAATGTAATAACATAATTATTATTATATTATGTGACTTACATATTAATTACCACTTWTTTCCTACATATAATTTAAAGTGATATTCTAAATACATTTGTCTATTTTGAATTCAAAYGAATAGCCAAGAGAGGTGTTTGGTGGTATAATGGTGAGCATGGCTAGCTTCTAAACCATGGCCAAAATTTTTTAAACCTTCCCTGCAATATAGCTTTTATGAGAGTATGAAAATTCTGTTACAACTGGGTCCTGAGGCAAGAGGAAAATTCTGTTACAACTGGGTCCTGAGGCAAGTTTAAGGCCAACCTCATCAATGTAATGAAGCCCTAAGCACTTAGTGAGAACCTGTCTCAAAAAAAAAAAAAAAAAAAGAGCAGGAGATGTAACTCAATGGCCGTGTTCCCTGCTTCAAATCCCAATACCAAAAAAAAAAAAAAAAAAAAATTCTATTATATACCATCCAAATAATTCTAAATCCATACTCTCAACCACACCCTTTATCTAACTTTCATACACTATGCCAATATTTCCATTGCTCTAAATCTCTCAGGGCCAGGCATCAGGCAACTAGAAACCACCCTTATACCCTAGAGTTCTCTGACATTATTCAGATCAGTCAATCCCAGGCTGTTTTCTCTTCCCTGTTTCCTGTCTTGCATTTCACACACACACACACACACACACACACACACACACACACACAAACACACACACCAAGAAACCCAAAAAAACCAAAACAAACAAACAAACAAACAAACACAAAACCAACCAACAATGAAAGCTCTGTCATGGACTTTTCCCTCACACTGATTCTGCTTTCTTACCAAACCTGGTGCTTCTCCAAATGGTCCCAAATGGCATGTAGTGTTCCTAGCTCTCTGGAAATGTAAGCAATAAACATTTTCTTCCAATGCATTGACTTATGTGTGTCATTATAGTCATCTCATGAATTAAAACCCCAAGGGTACACATTGAAACAGATGGCTAATAGAAAAATAATCAATGTGACATAATGACAACCAAGGAAATGAAGAAGTTGGGGCAAAGACAAAATAGGAATAGAAAAAAATTAGTTGAAGCTGGGAAATATTCATATAGAGCAAGCATCCAGTAAGACTTCTATCTTTGTAGAAAAGGAAGGGCAGGGTGACTTAGTACTTCACAATTGCTGAAGAAAAGAGAACATATGATCACCTCAAATATTTAGGAAATCTCAAGATAACAATCCAGCAGTGTAAAGAAACAAAATTCTTCCTGATTTKGGGAACTCTGATTTTTCTTCTTAGACCCTCATATGGAAATTGCTAAGAATGTAGTATTTTGTCCAATCCCCAAGGATAATCTTTACCATTTCTCAATTTTAACTGAGGACATAAATCCCAAAGCACATTTTAGTAACTACATATTTTGAGTGATATGCTTGAGGGGTGTTTTARTCAGCCTTTCCTTACTGTGTCTAAAATATATGACAAGAGCAACTTAGAGGAGGAAAGATTTATTTTGGCTCACAGTTTATGAGGTTTCAGTCCATGATTGGGTGGCTCCATTGCTTTGGGTCTGAAGTGAGGCAGAATCTCATGGTGAAAGTGGCAGAGGAAAGCTGCTCATAGAAGCTGGGAGAGAGCAGGGCAAGTGTGTGKGGGGGGTGATGATAAATCTTTCCAGTGTACATCCCTAGTGACCTACTTCATCCATCTAGGTCCCWCCTGCCAGTAGCTAGCAATGGAATAATCCAGGAAAAGTATTAACCCACTGATAAGGTCAGAGCCCTTATGATCTAATTATTGCCTAAAAGCCTCACCTCTCAACTTTGCTGCTTTGAGGACCATGCTTTCCACATAGGAGCTTTGGGGAGACATTCCAGATCCAAATCATAACAAGGGGTGTGTCCAAGAGTTCAGTCTAGTGTTTGTTTTTCTAATGATTGTACTTAATCCAAAAAGAAATTGTAGAATATTTATATCCTGTCTTTCTCAATATTTTAAACATACACATTATCACTCAAGAAATTCAATCTACATGTTTAGATATTAAAAATKATGTGTTATTTTTAAAATATMAAAATATATTACTAATATAAATAAAATATAAATAAATAAAATCTGAGTTTTAGAAACCAAGCAACTACCCCCTTTTCCTAGCGTTTTCCCTTTGAGTGTCACAGATCTGGAGACATGGAAGAAATAAATACTTTTCAAGATATTCTTCTTAAATTTTATTTATTGTAATTGAGCTGTTGGGGTCAGCAGGATTTCAAAGAGCACCAGATAAGGGCAGCTCCAGTGCTTCAACTGTTGGCCAGATCAAGAGAAGGAGGAGTCTCAAGGGCTGGTTCAGCCCTCTAGGACAGAAGGAGGGGAAGATGGCCTCAGTGATGGAAGCCCTAAAGAGAAGGATAATCTGGTTCCTGGTAAAAGGATCTCAGATGAATATCACCATAGGACAGCTTTGAATCTTAGCACTGTGTATGGTATTTTCCCTCAGTCCCAGTCAGATCCAGTGTTCTGGTGAGGTAGGCATGGCGCTGTGTTTCAGGAATGCCCCAGAGCATATAGGAAGCAGTATGGACTTGGAAACACAAAATGTTGGAGGAACTCTGTCAGGCCCGGTGCTGAGACCACTAATAACTTTTCAGTCTGGAGGAGCTGACAGGTTTGACTAAGGTCAAGGAGCAAGTGTTAGTCCAGGGATTCGTCCTGGGATCACGCAGACTTGGCATCACTAGGTGGTCAGAACAACAACCTGTCAGGGGGCAGAGAGGCAAGGTCAACAGAGAGGGGTGGTTCTCGGAGTTGGGGCGGAGCTTAGGGGAGGCTGGAGAGAGGGCGGGGGCGAGGTGGGCWGAGCTGGAGTCAGAAGGAGGGGGCGGACCTAAAGGCGAGGCCTTGCCGCGTGAGTCTCGCGCCTGCGCAGGGCGTCCCTGGGAGGGCCTGCGCGCGCGCCTTGAGCGGGCCCTGGAGGGCGGAGTCCAGGCGGGCGCCGGCCAAGGGAGGGGGCGCGGCGGCTCTGGAGTCCGGCGCTCCCTGAGGCCGTGGAYGCGATGCTGGCTGTGTCCTGTCGTGTTCCCGGGCCGACCGGAATGTGACGGCGGCCCCTCGACTAGCCTTCGGTCTTGGGGCCCGCAGGTCGCTGGGCGACCCGCAGCCGGGCCACGGCCGAGAGGAGGCTGTGCGACCTCCGCACGGTGAGAACTGGGGTCAGGGCCGGAGCGGGTGCTGGCGCCGGGGTCKCGGCGAGTGCCCCCGGTAGCCCGTAATGGGGGCGAGGTCCAGGGCTGGGCGGAGGCTTGGGCGTCGGGGGAGAAGCAGAGGCCCAAGAGAGGCAGCCTTCCAAGGCGGCCCCGCTAGCGCCCCTCGAGCCGCCTGAGGTGGGCGGGTGTGGAGCGGGGAGGCCGGAGCCCCTTGCCCCTCGGGCTGTGATAGGCGCCTGGGGCCGGGGGTCGGGGGCCGTGGGCCACCGGCACTGGCCACAGCGGCGGCCGCCTTTTGCTCAGGGGAAATCTGGGCGAGGCTGAGATGCCCAGTGATTTCAGAGCCGGGATGCTCGTGAGGGTTGATAGGGAAAAGTACCGAGGTGCTCTGAATGAGTGGGTTTTTTTTTTTTTTAATTACTGGGCCAAAACAAAGACCCCCTAAAAATACATCCTGAGATAAAACTTTGGTGGATCACACCGTTGCTGTGAGTTCAGATGCTGTTGCTTTCTCTTCTTTAGACGTCTGCTATTTTTATCCATTTGTATAATGCACCGTGTTTGTTGATACAGTAAGAGGAGGAATTACTCCGTTGATGTGGTCGTTTGTGGTTAAGCTTAAGTTTGAATTTCAATAATTGCAAATTCATCTTTGTAGGCTATCCAGCCAATTAGACTTGCTGTTCCTAACTAGGCCTTAGCACTGTGGAAATTACTGATGCACGGACTTTTTGTAGTCTCAGATTGATATGTAGGTTTTCACTMTTAAAGGAGAGATAACATGAACTTTAGCCTTTTCAAAGTAGCTGTTTTCTCCTGAACATCAAACTATTACGGAACCTATTCATTTGGCCAGAGGTTTTTTAAAACATCATTTTCAAAAGAGACTTTAATTTAAGGAGACTTTAGTTTACCCAAATCTAAGATACTCTCCTTCTGCAAAAGATAGATAGGTGCAAAACATATCTTATAGGCTGTAATCAGACTTATAGTCTGTAATATATGATAAGTATATAAACATTGCTAAATGTTTTGCTCGAAGTCAGTTTTCTTTTCAGACTTTATTGTTTGCTTTGCTATTTTCTGATTTGGTTGTTTTCTTCAGTGTTCTCAGCGACATTGACCTCAAATAATCTTTGGGTTAAAAATACAACTTTCTTCAACTTTTTAGCCACAATTAATAATGTCTTATTTCAGGTGTTATATTACTATCCCATAGTAATATAATGCTAGAAGCCATCTTGAGAGCAGGAATTCATTAATTTTTTATTCTACCTTTCTACAGGTAGAATTTTTTGCTTGTTGCCTTAACTCAATGCTTATTATTTTATGGAGAAAGATGAGGACTTTGATTTCGTGTTTAGAAGCCCATTGATGACTTTTCATAATCTATTTGAATAAATTGAGGCTTTCATAATTTCTGGTGTTTATCTACATTTTAGTTTCTCTTCTACCATGATGCCTGCCCTTTCCATTTAAGACTATTTGTAGCTCTCAAAAGATGACATCTTCCTTTGTGGTTTTACACTGTTCCCTCTGTTGAAAATTTTTCTCTTCCAAGTAAACAACTTGCCATTCACAACCTTACTAAAATAACACCTGAGTCTTCTCTGGAAGTCTTATCCCTTTTGTCTTCTCTGATCCAGTAAGATACAATACATTATGCAGATAGCATTTGCCAATTGGTAGTTAATGATTTGTTTATATGTCTCTCTTAACCAGGCTTTTGAGTTTCTTTTTAAGTTTGCAACTTAAGCACATTATGTTTTGTGGCACAGGTATCAAAACTATTAGCTGTATGTGTTCTGGAGGAATGGCTTCAGGCTTAAATACAGCTTTAAAATAGGCAGAATATGTTAGACTGTATTTTTCAGTATCAGAAAATTTAGAAAAGATGAATGTACAAGGTGCTTTTAAAAACCCAAGAACAAAGTGAAAATCATTGCTGATTAGGAATGAAATCCTAGTTCTGACAGATAAAAACAGTCCATTTTATGATGCAGGAATAAGAAGGGCAAGACCAATAAGGATTGTTGCTTTACTAGTCCCAAAACTTTATTTTGAGTGCAGTAATTTGCTTAGGGTCACATGGRTAGACAGGGCCAGACCTCAGATGACTGTCCAAGTCTTTTGATCATCTTTGTATTTCACCTTTGCCTCTAGTCTTCTAATTCTAAACTTTAGTAATTGTTTTACCATCTGAGTAACGGTAATGAGAGACTTTGGTGTGTTTGGGAAAGAGGTCTGTTACTTTAACAGGTATTGAACTTGAAAGAATTTACAGATTATTTGGTTCGATTTGAAAATTTTACTATTAAATAATTAAAGCCTGAAAAGACAGGTAACATGCCTGAGATTGCATAGTGTCATCTCTGTCTCACATCTTCTGACCTCATGTTTGTATATTTTCCACTGCTTCATGGTGGTGGTATAGAAAAATGAGGAAGTCAACAGATTTTCACAGAGTGCAAATCTGCGTCATTTTCTTCTTAAATCCTTAGCTGCCACTATTAGGGCTTTAGAGCCCTGAAATGGTTGAGAAACATAATAATTCATCTGGGAACATAAGGGAAACTGAACCTTCACCATTCTGTGTGGCCAGATAAGTTTTAACTTTGGTGTTTGAAGTCCTCTCTCCAGATGCTTTGTAATAAGTGGCCTCTGATCACCAGATGGAGATCCCCAGTTAAATTTTGATGGTAAAAGAGATTTTTAATATAATGAGGTTACAGTTGGCTAATAGCATGGCTAAAATTGCATTTATGGTTTGTCTTTATGTGAGAAGAGCTAATCCATTTACTCCTGTGTGATAGGTTTTTAGGGTAAAAAATTGTTTATTGTTGTTTCATGCCTCTGAAAAGTCAGTTTTGAAGTGTGTATTTAGTTTGATGGGCCTGATCAATTCCAATAGGCTTTTTATTGGAACAACATAATGTTAAAGAATTTTTTAAAAAATCAGAATAAGCTTTTAATTTTTCTTATTTTTGGTCATACCTATTTGGTTTTATACTGTAATCAAATCATAAATATAATGTTTAACACTTTTATACTTATTTTCTTTTTGCTATAGTTTTTATACCTTTAGATTATTGTACAATGTTACAGTGAGTTGAATTACTTATTTTTTTAGTAGCTCGACATCTAGGTTGCTTATTTTGTAAGTGCATTTAATATAGTTGTTCATCATTTTACTTCTTTCCTGTAGGTTAATGGTCAAAGAGACGGATTTCAAGGTCAGATGGTTTGAAGGTTTTATCAATTTCAAAAAAGATTGCCAGATTTACTTTAGATAGGTATTGCTATACACTGCCTCTAGCAGAATTTAGCTGACCAATTCTATCATACATTTTTATAATATTTTGTTTTTAAAAATGGGTATTAAAGTACTTGCTGTCTAACATCACAGCCCATAGTAGAAAAGCAAATGCAGTTTTTCTAGTTCTGTTTTCTCCTTTCTATGAATTGTTTGTCCTTCAGTTATAAATTTACTGAAATCCTATCATCATTTTCAGTAGCACTGACACCATAAGTATTTAATCTTTTGAAAAGTGTTTCTGATCTGCTTTATTTTTGTTATTTTTAGTATTGAAGAGTTTGTAGTATTTTTTAGTATTACTAGAATTACTGATTTTTTAAAAAAGTTTTGTGATTTTTGTGTTTTAATTGTGAAGTCTTAGAATGAAATTATTCTGCTGCCTGATGCATACTTTTATTAAGTTTCTAGAGTTTGTTTTGTTACATGGGTATGTATTTAGTAGATTACGTATACAATTGGGATTGAATTTTATTCATGTGGATTTTACATTATAGAAAACCACATTCTTATTAATTTCCATTTTTTTCTTCCTGAGTTTGAACAGGGAGACAAAGTAAAAGAACCTAGTTTTTTTTTTTTTTTAAATACATGAATATTTCCCTTTTTTTTGGATTCTTGCTTTTTAAAAATAAATTATCATGAAAACAATATATTGGTTAATTTAAGGTTTTGTTTGATTCAGGATTAATTGGAACTTTGTTTCTAACTGGGCTCTTGTTGTTAATTATTCTGAAATACATGGAAGCTAAACTTTGGTTATCTGCTGTCTTTGGGAAGTGATGCATTCTAGATAGATGAGATAGTCCAGTATCTGTGGGAGGATTTGGCATGCAGTTTCTTACTTAGTCCTCATAGCAACCCTAAAAGATAAGTCTTTTAGTATTCTCCTTTTGTGCAGGAGAAAACTTATAGATGCAGAGTGATCTGCTAAAGGAAACATGGCTAGGAAGGAGTGGACAGCCTGTTTGCTTTCATAGGCACTGTTTTTTTTTATATGTGTACATATTTAGTAGATTTAAAGATGAATTTTTTGCGGTGCTAAGAATTTGGACTTGGGCATTTGAAAGATACTAGATGTTTCAAAGCAAGGAGATGATATGACATGTTATTTCTTTTTGAGAGATGACTGATGTGACACTGCTCTCAGCCATTCAATTTGGGAGGGACTCCGGTCCCATATCTTCATTCTGAATGTGGGAATGGGGGATGCAAGACATGGTATTTTTAGCTAAGGAATACTGAGTATCTCAGGGACCACAATCTCTTTTGGTGTCTGGTATTGAAAAGCCCAGGTGATAACTCATATTTTAGCAGATATGTTTTTTATTCCTCACCATTCAACCTTTCTTTAAAGTGGAAATATAAATATGTCTACACACACACACACACACACACACACACACTCTCTCTCTTTGAATTCTCCCACCTCCCCTTCCCTCCACACTAATGTAGCAAAATCTTTTTTTTTTTTTTTTTTTTTTTGATGACTAGGCCACTGGTATATACACCAGGGACAACAAAGAGAGGCAGACACCAGAAGGTTCTCTAAGTTGTTGTTATCATGTTAATGATATTTGGTTGCAGCCTGAGTGCTTTGGGGAAATTTGAGAGCTTTCTCTGACCATTATGTCTTGGCAGCCAGTTTTAGGATTGGGAGTTACAATTTTCTCAGAAGACC